GAATGCTGACAAAAACTGAGGACTGATGGATGTGGGGGGGAGGGGGGATGGGCATGGAGGAGGACACTTGTGGGGATGAGCACTGGGTGTTATGTGGAAACTAATTTGACAATAAACTATTTGTAAAAAATAAAAAAAAAGTAAAAGGAAAAAAAAAAACATGTGTAGGCTAGACTATGGCAAGTTTTCCTGCGATCTCTAAACTCCTTTGGCGCTTTAGAATTCTCTAATTCGATTGTGTTAATTCTTCAGGACCGAGGCTGTGTATACTTTGATTCTCCATGGTTTCCAAAAATTCTCACGAGGTTAATATCCTTCTATTGCATGACTGCTTTGCCCCTGCTACCTGAACCGAACTACATGGAAGCTAAGGAAGCTTATTCAAACATGTGAACAGCGCGTTTCAAGAAAACAGTGCCGGGCACAGTGCCTACAACAGCCTGAAGTTCTAACAACTCTCCCAAGTTTGGGAAGGCTTCCGAGTTTTCTGAGATTACTTCTCTGAGCATGAGCGGAAGTCACCCTTTGAGAAATCTGCGGATTTTTTTAATGACAGGTACCCTATGAAGAAGCAATCCGTTCCATTCTCTTTTTCCCGTTGCACCCACAAGCAAGTGACCAGGTGACAAATCTGTCTTCGTTACAAGAAAATAAAGATCTCACTCAAAGAAGTCTGAAGCAGCCCAACAGCCCATCTTCCCACAGTAAAGATGGCGCCCCCTGAGTGTGAATTGCAGGCGATACCACTTCCGCGTTTCTCCGGCGCCCTCGTCCAAGATGGCGGACGAGGCTACCCGGCGTGTGGTGTCTGAGATTCCGGTGCTGAAGACTAACGCCGGACCTCGAGATCGTGAGTTGTGGGTGCAGCGACTCAAAGAGGAATATCAGTCTCTTATCCGGGTTAGTTTTGGTTCTCCGACCGACCGCGTCGCAGAAGGGTTGCGGGTAATCGGGTGTCCTTAGGAATCGGCTCCGTGTGGAAGCCGCTTCCGGTTATAAAGTTTAACTTCCAAATTCATAGAAACTGGACGATTGTGGGGCTGGGGGACTTAGGAAGGTATGATGGGGAGGGGGTAAAGGAAACTCAGTTTGGGAGCCCAAGTGGGGCCAAAGCAGCAGTTATTTTAGGGATACGCCTCCCCGGAAGGTGACGTGTCTCTCTGCCTCCAGGTGTTTGCTCTCCTGGATGGAGGGGAGGTAGTCAAAAGGGATTCCTGGGGCTCCCAGTCCCTGGCTCATAGAGATGACTCCTTCGCTCTTCCTAAGGGAGCACACCGGATAGGGATGCAAATTCAAGTAAGTGTTAGTTGCCAAGAGTTGAGTGAAACTCGCAGTTAGGAATGAGCCATTTTCTCAACTCATCTCCCTTCTGTGGAAAGAGAAGAAAGTTTTGTCTTCCTTACAGTGGTCTCTGTTTCAAAGGGCGGCAGCACGTTATTCACTACCCCCCCCCCCCCACCAGATTTGTTGTACACTTAGCACCTAGGAACGGGATCCAAAGCTGCATAAGGTGGAGCCTACTGAGATGGATAGAAACAAATCATTATGATTCATTAAGGGGCGGGAGAGGGAGAGGGAAAGCTTGCTAGGATTTATTTTAAAATGTTTGATTTATTTCTAGGAGAGAGAGAGACAGAGCGACAGCGTGAGCAGGGGAGGGTCAGAGAGAGAGGGAGTCACAGACTGAAACAGGCTCCAGGCTCTGAGCTGGCAGTCAGCACAGAGCCCGACGCGGGGCTCGAACCCACGAACCGCGAGATCATGACCTAAGTGAAAGTCGGACGCTTAACCGACTAAGCCACCCAGGCGTCCCTCTAGGATTTTTGAGAGCAGAAGGTGAGATACGTAATTCAGCTAGGGTCTTGTCAGGGAAGGCTTCCTGGAAGAGGCAATGCTTGAGCTGAGCCTTAAAGAGAAAACGTAAGCTAAAATGATAAACAGGATAAGAGAAAGATGTTCATGGGGAAAGGAACAGCATGAGCAAAAGCATAGAAGCGAGAAATGGCATGATGCAATGAAGAAATATAGAAACAAAAGCATTTCAGAGTTGCTAAGCCATCAAGTGTATGGCAGGGATGGGTAGACAAGCCTTGAGACATAGGCTTGAGCTCTTGAAATTTTTGTTGTAGGTACTTTAATACCTTTAAAGTAGTTTAAGCTGAGGGATAGCATGGTCAGATTGGGTTTGGACCAATCACAGTGGCAGTAGAGAAGAAAATAGAATTGAAAGAGGTAAGATTGAAGGAAGGAAGCAAATCTAGGGGACTGTCATGAATCCAGCAAAAGAAAGGTGATGATCTAAACTGGATAGGTATAGTGACGATAGAGAGAAGAGGTAGATTTGAAGAACATTCAAAGGGTGAAATTAGCAGGACATCGTGAAGGACTGGTGGGGAGGAGAGGAGAGGAGAGGGAAGGTCAAGGGTGACTCCCAGGGTATGGCTTGCATGACTGAGTGAATGCTGTCATCGAGATTGATGCAGTGAAAAAATGGTCTGAAGGACAAGGGGGAAATGCTGAGTTTGAGGTACCTGTGAAGTGAAAGTAAAAATTTCAGTATACAGGGATGCCTGGGTGGCTCAGTTGGTTAAGCATCCGTCTTTGGCTCACGTCATGACCTCAAGGTTCATGAGTTCGAGCCCCACGTCAGGCTCTGTGCTGACAGCTCAGAGCCTGGAGTCCGCCTCGGATTCTGTGTCTCCCTCTTTCTCTCTCTCTCTGCCCCTCTCTTGGTCTGCTTTTTCTCTCTCTCTCTCTCTCAAAAATAAATAAAACCATTTTAAACAAATTATTTTAAAAAGAAAGAAATTTCAATCTAAAGTTGGATACTAGAGTCTGAAACTCTGAGAAAGGGTCTGGACTAAAGTAAAGATTTGGAAGTCAACATCATGTACTAGTCAAAACCATGACTACGTTTGGGGAGCCTGTGCAGCTCAGTCAGCTAAGCGTCCATCTTCGGCTCTGGTCATGATCTCTCGGCTCAGGTCATGATCTCGAGGTTCATGAGTTCAAGCCCTGTGTCTGGCTCCTTGCTGACAGCTTGGAGTCTGCTTCAGATTCTGTGTCTCCCTCTCTATCTGCCCCTCCCCTTTTCCCACTCTGTCTCTGTCTCTGTCTCTCTCTCAAAAATAAATAAACACTAAAAAAATTTTTTTTAACCAGGACTATGTGAAGTCCTCCAGGGAGGGAGTATACTATAAAATAAGTTGTGGGCTGAGGGCAGACAGTATCAGACTTGGGAAGAGAACCTCGTCAATATTATCAAGTGTTTTGTGCCTGCTAAATAGAGTGGAACCCAAACATTCTATTCTCTGCTCTGGGCAAATCTCCTACGTACCAGTGTAACTGTGTCTTCAGCTTTGCTTATGTCAGTTGGGGTGGGGGTGGCGGTGGAAGTGGGGGAGTGGGGAGGAGTGGGAGGGGAGGGACACCAGGGAGGCTCAGTTGGTTAAGCTTCTGACTCAGGTCGTGATCTCTTGATTCATGGGATCGAGCCCGAGTCAGGCTCTGCGCTGTCAGCCAAGAGCCTGCTTGGGATTCTCTCTCGCTCCCTTTATCTCTGCTCCTCCCTGCTTGTGCTCACCTCCTCTCAAAATGTGAACTTTAAAAAAAAGAATGAAAAGTTGGGTACACACCAAGAGAGCAAGTAATCACACACTTTTCTTTTGAGGGAAGAGGACTGCCCTTGCCCTCAGCTCCCTCCTCAAAGACCTCATTCTCTGCTTTCAGTACGTAGAAAACAACAAGAATGCCGACAATGATTGGTTCCGACTGGAGTCCAACAAGGAAGGGACTCGGTAGGCAGACCCTCTTGGTAGTTTTGGGGGTGGGAATCTTACATGGCTTGAGCACTGTGATGTCCCAAAGCCCACTGCCAGGCCTCCCTGCCTCCTGTTAGCTGTCTCCACGCCCACAGCTCCAGAGCACCCCAGTTGCCATCCCATGAGTCTCCCAGACTGATCACCTAAGCCAAGAATATATTATTTGAGTATGAGAAGAAGGGACAGATTGGACCTTGTTCAATTTGGTCTTTGTTCCAGGTGGTTTGGAAAATGCTGGTACATCCATGACCTGCTCAAATATGAGTTTGACATTGAGTTTGACGTGAGTATGATGAATGGGAAATATGGAAGTTAGTGGTAGGGGAGAGATTAGGTGGCCGTTAACAAGCTAACCTTTTTGGAGGAACCAAAGACAACTTTTAAAACAGGAGGGGGGAAAAAAACCGGGAGGGAAATGCTGAGGATTGAAGCAACCATAGATGACAGCCACTACTCTCCATGTCCAGAATCCCAGTGTGTGCATGCGGCTTGGGGGGGGGGGGGGGGTGTGTCACACATTTCAGTTCAACCAGGAAATATGTGTGATTAGATAGTTCCCTTCTATCTCAATTCTGTTTCATTAAGGCCTTATAATTCCTCCAGATTCCTATTACATATCCCACTACCGCTCCAGAAATTGCAGTCCCTGAACTGGATGGGAAAACAGCAAAGATGTACAGGTAGGACTCAACAGGAGATGGGAAAAGGTCAAAGAGGCCTCAGGGAAGAACTCTGGGAGACAGGAATTGTCCTAGAGGGCCTCCCAGCCCTCCTCGGCCACATCTGGGCGAAGCACTTAGCTGACCTCGTGCTTAATTCTGATCACTAGCAGTCACCCTGCGCTTCTAAGAGGTTGTTATGCTTTATGGTAAACCTTGCCTGTCAACACCTTCTTCCTCTTGTCCCCCCCTCCCCCCATAGGGGTGGCAAAATATGCCTGACTGATCACTTTAAGCCTTTGTGGGCCCGGAATGTGCCCAAGTTTGGACTAGCTCATCTCATGGCTCTGGGGGTAAGTTTGGGGTATTTGGTATATAAAGGTAGGGAGGGGAATTAGGCACTGAGCAATGTAAAGTAACTGAGAGTAAACAGGGAATAACAGTGTTTTCCTTGGGCATGTCCATCAAATCTCTCCAGGAAGGAGCTTCTGATGGAACGAGGGGCATTGACTGGGTGGGTGGTGGTGATCTCAGCAGGGTCTCCCTTGTATTGCAGCTGGGTCCATGGCTGGCAGTGGAAATCCCCGATCTCATTCAGAAGGGCGTGATTCAGCATAAAGAGAAATGCAACCAATGAAGGATCAAGCCACCAAGGCAGGACAGAGGGACCTTTGACAGGCTACATTCTGTTCCTGTTTCCTGTGCATCACTCCTACTCATCCAGCTGCTTCCCCCCAAACCCCTCCACCCATAATTGTTACTAAGTAGCTGCATCAGGCATTGCTGAAAAAAATAAACAACAGTATCGCCACTGAATTTCTAAGGCTACACAGGAAAGGGAGAGACTGGGGCTTTGGAAAACCAAGGCAATTTATATCCCTTCCCCCAGTGGGGCAATATGAGATCCAGGAAGGATGGGAAGCAGGCTGGAAAGTGGGTGCACAGTCTTTTTGGTTTCTGGAGAGAACTCATCAATAAAAGCTGCTGCTTCTGATGGCCCGTGGTTCTCATCGGTGGCTGTGACGGAGAGGGTGAGCAGGCTAAGGGCGAGCAGGCTGAGACCCAAGGCACGTGTACAACTACATTAGTTTGGAGGGAGGGGGAAATGGGGGATTCCCCAGGAGCTGGGAAAGGAAAGGAAATCTTGACTGCGCTCCCTCCTGCTGAAATCTGCTTGCAGAGATCCGCTCGTGTCTTTTAGCGGGGTGCCTACTGCTTTGGTCTGCAAGATGCTAGAGGAATGGTTTTGCAGGACCAGCATTCCCCGCCCTCCGGGGAGTCTTCCCATCCCTATGTGGAGTGCTGGATGCTTCTCCGCTGGTCTGCGGGCTGGACCCAAGCATTGCAGCTTTCCACACAGGCACCCCTGCTCCCTGGCAAGGATCCGTGCCGCAAGCCTCGGGGCCATACGACAACTATCAGATCTTCATCCCTATGGGTCACAGGACCCTGTGCTTCAGGGGGGCTTGCTATGGAGAGATGATTTAAAAACCATTCAGAGCAGAGCTGGGAACCGGCGGTCCTAAAGTTGGCTGCGTTTCCATGGTGTCGGCGGCGGAGCCAAAGGGGCGGGTTCACGCAAGCGCCGAGGAAGGAGGTGGGTGGATGCCGAGTGTGGGTGCGCAGGCGCCGTGAGAGGCGGTGAAGCCGGTGGCCGGTGGCCGGGCGGGACCAACAAAGATGGCGGCGGCCCCTGCGGCGGGAGAGATCTGGGCAACAGCTGCAGCTAAAGCTGCAGCCCGGCCCTCGGGGGGGCTGCACGGGGGTAGTAGGGGGTGGCCTTGAGCTGGGGCTTGGCCCCGGCTGGCCTCCCCCGCTGCCTCACCGGGGGACAGGTACGGGCCAGGGCGCTATGGCGTGGGGTGGGGGGTGGGGGCCGCGGGCAGGCTGCTCCAGACCCGAAAGGACGCCCTCCACAAAGGCAGGGCGCGGGGGGCCCAGCAGGCCTGGGGGATCTGGGCTGGAGGGACAGCATCCGTGGACCGCAGGGAGTACGCCGCCGGACCCCATAGCCAATCAGCGGCCTCGGCCTTTCTGCCCTCGAGGGGGGCGGACCCGGCGGAAGCCCTGCCGTGGTGGGAGAGGTGCGGAGATGAGGGGCTTGTTCGACCTCCCTCCCCGCCACTGCCCCTGAGCCCCAACGTCTCGTTGGAGCTCAGAGGTGGGGGAGGGAGTGATTCGCCGGTCACCCATTTCGTCCGCTTCGTTGCAGCCCGGAGGGCAGGGGCGTGAGGGTGGAGTGCTGTCTTTTGGGCTGTTTTCCTTACATCCACACCCTCATTTGTCCAGAGGTTCTAACTGACCCCGGGCACCTCCCATTGACCAGCCAGGTATGGGGGCCCTTGTCATTGGCCTTTAGATCATGAAGACAGCCCAGATAGAGACTATCGTTGGCTTTTCAGTAAAGTGGTGTTCGGCAGGAAGGGGGTGAGGAATATAGAAAGAGTCAAAGCAGTGGGCTGCTATCATTCATTCATTTACTCAATGGATACTAAGTATGTACTTTGTGCCAAGCACGAGGCTAGGTGCTGGGAATACAGTGACTGATGTGACAGACGCTGTTACTGCCCGTGGAGTATGTAGCTGTGGTAACCTAGGTCCCCACCTCCCTCCACGTTCAAATACTGACCCTCTCTTCTCCTCCCAGGTCCAGCCTGTGGTGTCCACAATGCCCCAGGCCTCTGAGCACCGCCTGGGCCGGACCCGAGAGCCACCTGTTAATGTCCAGCCCCGAGTGGGATCCAAGCTACCGTTTGCCCCACGGGCCCGAAGCAAGGAGCGCCGAAACCCAGCCCCGGGGCCGAACCCCATGTTAAGACCTCTGCCTCCCCGGCCGGGTCCCCCTGAGGAACGGCTCAAGAAACTGGAGCTGGGACGGGGTCGGACCTCAGGCCCTCGTCCCAGAGGACCCCTTCGGGCGGATCATGGAGTTCACCTGCCTGGCTCCCCACCCCCGACCGTGGCTCTGCCTCTCCCTTCCAGGACCAACCTAGCTCGGTCCAAGTCTGTGAGCAGCGGGGACTTGCGGCCTATGGGCATTGCGCTGGGAGGGCACCGCAGCGCTGGAGAGCTCGGGGCCGCGCTCAGCCGCCTGGCGCTGCGGCCTGAGCCACCCACTTTGAGACGCAGCGCTTCTCTCCGCCGCCTCGGGGGCTTTCCTGGCCCCCCAACCTTGCTCAGTATACGGACGGAGCCCCCTACTTCCCATGGCTCCTTCCACGTCATATCTGCCCGGCCCTCCGAGTCTTTCTACTCCGATGACAAAATGGTGAGGACCCGGCGGCACCCGCGGCCTTGCGTGCCCATGCCCCTCTCTGGGCCTCCAGCTTTCTTGCCATCGTGTGTCTTTCCTGTCCCTCTTTTCCCCCAAGTTCCCTTCCCAGTCCCTCACCGCAGCAGCAAGGACTCTCCTGTCCCTTCCTTAAGTGCCCTCAAGCCTCACAGACCTTTTTTTCCGGGGTCATCTGTGACTCGCAGGCGTGGTGTGCCGTTTCAATCCCCGGGGAATGAGCCCAGCCATTTGGAATTCTTCCGCGTCCCCAGGCCCTTCCTCTCCCTTGCTTCACCCTGTCTCCTCGGCTGCCGCCTAGGCCTAATTAGTCTCTGGAGCTGATGAGGGGCGGGCCCAGGACATCTGAGTTAGTGTGGTTGTCCATTTCCCAAGCTGAGTGCGCGGGGTTGAGTGCAGTTGGAGCCACCAGGAGAGGGCTCAGGAAGGGGCCACGGGGGCGGGAGGGGGCCTTGGGGGAAGCAAGGTGGGCGTGGGGAGCGGCTGGGCAGCCATGCCCGTGCTGGGGGAGCTGCCCCAGGAGCTGCGGCGCCGGCTGGCCGGGCAGAGGAGTAAGTGGGGAGCAGGTGGGACGGCCATGGCCGAGTCCGTGCTACACTCGGCTGTGATGGGCTTCCTGCTCATGGCCAGTGAGGTAGGGAGCCCCCAGTACCCGGTGGGGGAGAGAGGGTGGAGCTTGGGGGCGCTTCCCCAGGGGTGGGGAAGTGGTGGGCAGCCATGCTGTTGAAAGGTCAGAGTGCCAGGCAGGATGGATGGGAAACTGCTGACTCCACTCTGACTTTCCAGGCTCATCACACGCTGCTCCTGGGCTCTGGTCATGTCGGCCTCCGAAATCTGGGGAACACGGTGAGAGCCACTCTCTAGTCCTTCCTCTTGAATGGGAATGTGAAATGGTGCGGTGGGGGGCGGGGGGTGCTGACCTGGGGGGAGAGGGGAAGGAGAGCACTGGAGCCCTTCTAGGTGGCAGGCCACTGGTCTGTGGCAACGACGGCGGTGTCTCTCCCGCTCCCCAGTGCTTCCTGAACGCAGTGCTCCAGTGTTTGAGCAGCACTCGGCCGCTTCGGGACTTCTGTCTGCGAAGGGACTTCCGGCAAGAGGTGCCTGGAGGGGGTCGAGCCCAAGAGCTCACTGAAGGTAGGGCAGCCACCCTTGCTCCCTGCTTTCCGGGCCCCGCCCCACCTTCTGGGTCCATCTGCCAGTCATGGCAGCCCCAGCCATTAAATCTGGCCGCGTGTCTGTGTGTCCTGCTGCCTGCTTCCCTAGCAGTGGCTTGCCACCCTCTGAGCCGCCTCGGGCCGCCTCTTCCAGTCTCTCACCTTGGTCTCCCGCACCTGCCCCAACAGCCTTTGCAGATGTGATCGGTGCCCTGTGGCATCCTGACTCCTGCGAAGCTGTGAACCCCACCCGATTCCGAGCTGTCTTCCAGAAATACGTTCCCTCCTTCTCTGGATACAGGTGGGAGAGCTGGAGGGTACGAGGGTCCTCCCTGGGCTGAGCCAGGACCCTGGCTGCATTGTCCTGGGCCTTCGGGTGTTCCTCACCCAGGAAGCGGGACTGACTGGGGGGTGGGTGGGGATAGTGTCTGGGGACCGGGTGGGGGCGGGCGGCCCACACTCTGCTTTGTGGCCACAGCCAGCAGGATGCCCAGGAGTTCCTGAAGCTCCTCATGGAGCGGCTGCACCTCGAAATCAACCGACGAGGCCGCCGGGCTCCGCCAATCTTGGCCAGCGGTGCGGCTCCCTCTCAGCCCCGCCGCGGGGGGGCTCTGCTAGAAGAACCGGACTTGAGGTAGGGTCACTCTCCCTCCCTCCCCTTCCCGTACGTTCTTGGCAAAGCCTTCACCCTACACAGAGCCGAGCTAGTCCAGATCGAGGATGTAGGGACCAGGGAAACGCTTAGCTCCAAAAATGGTTTGAGAAGCAGGGCAGAGGTTGGAGGAAGGAGGCCAAGGGGTGCAGATGGAGGAGAGGACAGTGCTGGGCCCTGTGTGGAGGGAGAGGGGGTCGTTTACAACCAGGGGCGTCGTGAAGTTGGCCGCTCTGCCCTGGCCCTTGTTCCTGTCTTTTCTATCGCCTTGGGATTCCCCAGAAAGCCTTCTGAACCATTACTCCTTTGACACTTCTTTGAAAGGCAGGGAAGGAGCTGGGGTATGGGTGGGGTGCAGGGCCGTGTGAGTCGTTTCCGTGGTGTTGGGCCCGCCCCCGTGTCCCCGCCGTCTCACGGGTGCTCCCCACTTCCCTTGATCTGTGGTAGTGATGATGACCGAGCCAACCTAATGTGGAAGCGTTACCTGGAGCGGGAAGACAGCAAGATTGTGGGTACGGAACGGGCAAAGCCATGGGGGCAAATCAGCGTGGGGGGGGTGCAGGCCTGGGAGATAGACTGGCCCTTGAAGGGGTGTGGGAGCAAGACTAGAGGATGGAAACGCAGACGAGGGCGAGGGGGTTGTTAGGAGTGCTGGCGCTGGGAAGGGAAGGGTCAGGCAGAGGGGTGGGGGCCGAGGAGCGTCTCAGGCACCCCCTTAATGACTGTTTGTCCCGCCTCTTCACTTCTGTCTAGACCTGTTTGTGGGCCAGCTGAAAAGTTGTCTCAAGTGCCAGGCCTGTGGGTATCGCTCCACGACCTTCGAGGTTTTTTGTGACCTGTCCCTGCCCATCCCCAAGGTGGGAGTCCAGAGGATTCCAGGGGTGGATGGGACATGGGTTC